GTTCAGCATCTTAGCTGTGGAGGGCAGCGTCACTGGCCCTCATATGTGGGATCCGAACCGGGGCCCTCTGGCGTCCCAAGCCAGCTCTTAACCAATGCGCCACTTGGCCGGCCCAACAGTCCCTTTTAATGTTTTGCTTTTACACTTAAATCTTTTGGCATAATGAATGAAACAGAAATCCAGCTTCCCACACTGGCTAATTGTTCAAGAAACAATTATTGGATAACCTTTTCCCCACCATTAAAATACCACTTTTATCATATATGTACTAAATTCTCATGTGCATTTGGGGCTATTTCTGGACACTTCTGATGGATTGTGCCAGTCATGTGCCAATCCCAGTACACTGTGCTTTTATTTCAACTTTTAATAATTGGTAATTCAGGTCCCCCCATTACTCATCTGTTTCAGAATGTTCTGGTTTTTCTCATTACCATTCTGGATGAACTTTTAAATTGTCAGCTTTTCCAAATTTGGTATTTAGAGACTGCATTGAATTTATGGATTTAGGGAAAATTGACATCTTTTATATTATGGCCTTATTTGTGAACAAATTATTACACTACTTATTCAAGTCTTCCTGGTTTAAGTAACTCAAAGAACTTTAGTTTTATTGATTGATCAAATATAGGTCCTATACATTTCTTGTTAAAGTTACTCCTGGATATTTTATGAGTTTTGTTGCTCTTACAAATGGGCTGTTTCCTTCCATTAATTTTTAAACTAATTATGAAAATCCTATTGGAAATCTCGCCATTTTCCACAACATGGATGGACTTTGAGGGCATGATGCTAAGTGAAATAAGTCAGACAGAGAAAGACAAGTACAATATGATCTCACTTATATGTGGAATCTAAAAAAAGCCACACACAACAAAAACCCTGAACTCATAGATACAGAAAACAGAGAACAGATTGGGGGTTGCCGGAGGGGTGGGGGGCAAAATGAGTGAAGGTGGTCAAAAGGTACAAACTTCCAGCTATAAGATAAATAAGTCCTGGGCCGGCCAAGTGGTGCGTTGGTTAAGAGTTGGCTTGGGACGCCAGCTCTGAGCCTCAGGGCCCTGGTTTGGATCCCACATTAGGGCCAGTGACGCTGTGCCCTCTACAGCTAAGGTGGTGAACAACACCTCAACCTGAGTCGCCAGCTGCAGTGGAGCTGCAGTGGGCAGCGTTAAGCTACCATGAGTGGCTGGCAGCCGGCGTGAGCTGCCAAGAGCTGCTGTGAGCAGCCGTCCAGGGGCTGGCTACCGATCTGCCTCACCCAGGAAGAGTGCAATGATAATACCAACATGGGCCAGTGAAGCAACATCCTCCACAACTAGACTGAAGAACAAAAGGACAGCAGCTTGTCTGTTTCCCTTCCCCAATTCCCCAATAAAAACAATAAAAAAATTTAAAAAAGATAAATAAGTCCTGGAAATGTGATGTACAGCATGATGAATACAGTTCACACCACTATATTGTATGTTAGAAAGTTGCTAAGAGAGTAGATCTTAAAAGTTATCATCACAAGAAAAAAAATTTTGTAACTATGTGTGGTGACGGATGTTAACTAAACTCACTGTGGTGATCATTTCACAATACATACATATATCAATCATTATGGTGTACACCTAAAAGTAATACAATTTTATATGTGAATTATATCTCAATTAAAAATAAATTAAGGGCTGTCCAAGTGGCTCAGTTGGTTAAGAGCTTGCTCAAGTGTGCGAGCTCTGAGCAACAGGGTCGCTGGTTCGATTCCCACATGGGCCAGTGAGCTGCACCAAGCTGAACTGCCGCTGAGCTGCCAACAGGTGGCAGGATGGCTCAGCTGGTGAGAGCATGTGCTCTTAACAATAAGGTTGCCGGCTGGACTCCCAAATGGGATGGTGGCTATGCCCACCTGCAACTAATTGAACACAGCACCTTGAGCTAAGCAGCATGACTGGACTTGGAGCTGAGCTTGCTGCGCTCTCCACAACTAAGATTGAAGGACAACAACTTGGCTGTTACCCTTCCCCAATTCCCCAACACTGTTCCCCTCCCCCAATAAAAATCTTTTAAAATAAATAAATAAATAAATACATTAATTAATTAATTAAATTTAAAAATTAAGAGCTATTCTGTTTATATTTTGCTCTTAACTCTTTATCCACACTCTGTCCTATAGAGCTCAGTCTTGGCCTTGAGTACCATTTCTATGTTGATGACTCCTATTGTCCACAGTCTTATAATTTCTCCCAAATTATCATTTTATCTCTGATTGGGTGTTTCTTAAATTTCAACAATTCTCATACCACTGTAATTTTCGTATTCTGTATACCACCTGTACCATCATTTAATTGCTTAATTTTTTTCTTTAAACCAGCTCATTAAAAATTAGCCTTGTCTTGTGCAATAATATCCATGAAATAACAAGAAGTCTGATGTGTTGACTATAATTTCTCTAATATGAAAATAAACACAAGACTATTAAAGTTTCAAAAAAAGCTCTCCATACTGTTTAAAAACATTTCTTGTATCATCCACCACTTTCTTTGAAATACTGTTCTATCTGATCATAAACCTTTCAATCTAAATATTCACCATTGCTTCCAATTGATCGTCCTCTCAACCCCTTTCCTTGCTCTGTCAAGATGATTATTTCTGCAATCACATGAGCTCCAACCTTGGGCTTCGCAGATGTCCCATTTATTGTCCCTTGCCCTCCATTCTCCCAGACACTCTTTTTATCTTTCTCTCCTTCCAGTATCCCTCTGCATTCCTTCCCCAGGACCAGCATCTTGCTTTAATTTTAAGGCCCATCTTTCTGAACCAGCTTCATCATGCCAACTCTGCATTATTTAAACACACTTCCTATCCCCCTCCTCCATCTTCTACAATGACACTGTGACTTTGGAATTTTCCCTCCTTCTCTGCTTATCCAAATCTTACCTGTATTTTTAGGCTCCCTTTCCAGGAAGCCTTCTTATATGATTCCAGCCCTCTCCCTCTCTTACTCCTGGAGCACTGTGTAGTGTTGGCTCAGGTAGCTCATCTCCCTGGGTAGACTATAGATGTTTGCCGGCAGGCCTCAGTCTGAATATTCCTTCTGCAATGGCGCATTGCCAAACACACATCAGATGCTCCCTAAATGCTCGTTGAGTCACTGCACGGTAGCATTCCTGCTGAAGATTTACCTCAGACTTCACCTGTCCTTGTTACTTGCCACAGCCACTCATCCCTGCCTGCACAACCTTCAACTCTCACAAACCACGGGCCAGAGGGAAATCAAAACAGGTGTTAAGAAAGGCGGAGCACACTGAAATTTAACAAGCCAGTTCTAGGATCGTTAGTCTTTTAATATATTATTCTGAAAAGAAAGGAATTAAAAAAAAGTTCCTGACATCTCTTCTGATTTTTTTAAAATTTAAATAAATACCCTGCCCTCCCCCACCCGCTAAAATTTCCCTTCTTCCCCATCATCCCACCCATACCTGGTGCCAAAGCTAAATAAGATGCCAGGTTCAGAGCAGGCCACTCTCACTACCGGCGACTTGTAAGTACTGTAACTAAGTCTGTGGCCCTAGGCCTCCACTTCCCAGACCAGACCAATCCCTCGCTTTGGGGTGGGCACGGATGGTGGGGCCTTTCGGCATGGGGGAAGAGTGAAAACTTGGTTCCCATTAATTGTCCGACATTCCCCACTCCCTGCTCAGGAGTAAGTCGGAGGGCCCAGAATTGTCCTCCAGACTAAAATAAATAACAAAATAAATACGCCCTCCCCAATTCCCGACTCTATAAAAAGTTTCTCCACCTCTCACTCTCCAGTCCCTCGCCCTCAATAGACCCGCCCTTCCTCCCTAACCCTTCCCACCTCCCCCATGCTGACCTCTGGCATGGCCTTTGCCCTCGCAGGAGGAGGGGTCTACCACACTCAGTGGCGAGAGCTGCGCGACGGCCTCACTCCCAGCCTCAAGCAAACCGTCCTTCTCCCCCAAAATTTTTTTGGGTGCTGCTGGTGCCCCAAGCCCGATAGGCCTGGCAGACTGACTCCCCGTCTCCGGAGATTAGGGAGGAGGGCAGGGGTTCTTCCTGGCGCTCTCACCTGGTCCTTTCAAGGGTCCCTCTTTCAAGGCAAGTCTCCCGGAGGGCCCCGCCCCGTTCCCAAGTCCCGGAGCCCGGCCTCCCGCCCTCCTCAGATGGCTGTGTCCCAGAGGACCGTGTGCTGCCGGCGGCAGGGCGGGGTACCGGACTTGCGGGGCTCGGGCCCCCGCCGCCAGCTAGGGAGGATGGGCATGCTCTCCTGCTTGCAGAGACCCCGGTCGGGACGGTGGCGCGCCTTGATCTCCTTGCACACGCAGCGCTTGCGCTCGATCACCTCCAGCAGCTTGCCGTCGCGCTCGCGGGCCGGCTGAGGCGGCAGGGGCAGCGGCAGCGGCAGCGCAGGGTGGGTCTGTGCCCCTTCCTCCCGCCGCCGGCCCCGACGGGGGGAGAAAGGAAGAAGGGGAATTAAGGACCTCAGAGTGACAGGGCGCTGTTCCCACTGCGAAGACCAGTGCCTTCCCCCAGAAACAAGTCCTCTCTTGCCTCTGTCCGCTCCTCCTGGCTGGGGGCGCTGATGGGAGCAGGAACTCAGCTCTTGCACCCTTTGCCCTGCTGTGTGAGCCCTGATGCCAGGCTGGGCCTGTCTCGCCCTGAGGAAGGCGCGCCTTTAAAAACTGTCTTCCCAGAAGGGAAGCCTTTTTCTAAATGTACAGAAGTGCACTGTATGCCAGTTACAGCCCTGCCTGGCTTGCCCACCCTAAGCAGTCCCTTTCCAAGATCCTCCCCCGACTCCCTCATTCTCTGCCAGTTCCTTATTAGTCTGTGCCAGGCCCTAGCCCGGCCTGTTGCCTATCTTTCCACACGCAGGCCTTCTTCTCTATATACTTCTTCACTAATTAAAACCAACCCCATCTTCCTCCTCACCTGGCTCGGGACATCCCGGGGCTGGCTGCAGGGCCGAGGTGTGTGGAGCGAGGCCTGACGGACTCCAGAGGTGGAGGCGGAGCGCCCCAGGCGGTAGCCTCCTGTGAAGTCTGGGGAGGAACAAGGAATGAAGACCAAAGAGGCTTTCAGGTCCCCCCCATATCCAAGTTCCCTGAGGACAGCCCCTTCCACGTTGCCCCCTGCCTCATCAGAAGAAAGGGGATGGAGATGTGGTATTAGGATGTAGGCCCCAGGACACAGACCCTGGAAGATTCCCCCCAGTCCACCCCATCTGTGTACAGGTGTGGAAGGCAGGGTGTCACCTCCATTTCGGTGGCAGGCTGGGAAGGTCTGGCAGGGTGTGGGCAGCGCTGTGCGGCTCCCTCCTCGGTCCCCTCCATGGTGGATCCTGGCCAGCAGGCCCTCTGCCCCCTGGCTCCTCACTGGGATCCCTGAAGCCATAGGGCCCCTGTCCTCACGCTCCACCTTGCCTGGACCCTCGACATTGCCATTCCAGGCCCGAGCACCATCCTCGACCTCTGCTGAGATGACAAGGAGAGCTCAGTGTCTGTATGGGGGTGAGGGGGTGGCAGGGTTCTTGTTGTCCCCCCAGCTCCACACACTGCAGCATGGGTGGACAAGTAAACTGCCCTTTTGTAGGTCATAGCTGGGAAGGGTGGGACCCTCTTCACACTCCCCAGCACATTCACACACACGAGGAACCCCAGTACTGCCACCTTCCATTGCACCCATTGGTACCATCCCTGGGCTGAGGTTCATAGATATTTGCTGCTTCCAAACCCTTTTCACTGGTCAGAGGGGTCTTCCATAACCCAGCTTTAGCTTCTGAGCCCCTCCAACCCCATATAGGGATAGAATGACCATCCTCAGGAACAGACCAAGGGCACTGTTCTCCAGGATGGGGAGAATCCCAAATCCTGAGCCAAGAAGTGGTGGTGGGGGGGGGGAGCATTGGGGGAAGGGCTGCCTGTGAACTAAGCTCATCTGTGAGTAGGCCTGGCAGAGCATTGCGTTGCCAGGCAACCACAGGGGCCTCCCTCTCCTCTCCCTCCTGTCTGGATGGGTTGCCATGGTAACAGCTGGGCGGCAGCTGTGTTTAGCTCCTAGTGTGTGCACACTCACAAACACATATCCCTGCAGCCCAGCAAAGGGAGGGGCAGGGAGTAGAGCAGGATGGGGCAAGAGGAGGTGGCTGCTCTGGGCCAGATTCTACCCCTCTATCCTACATCTTCCTGCTCCTCTAGCACACACATAGGGACCTCATCCCTTCACTCCACTGCATGCCCCCATCCCTCTGGTCTCCCAAAACTTCTCAGTTCAGGACAATGGGCCATGGCTTCCAAATAACCCCTCCGAGACATCCCCCAAACCACCATGGATATCCCCATCCCTCCTCATCCCCCCCCCCCTTCACTCACTGTCCAGCTCTTTTGCCTTCCTCCCTCCATACAGGACCTTCCTCTGCAGAGCCCAGCCTGCCCCAAATGTCGTGGCACCCATTTCCTCTTCTTCCTCTTCTGGTGTCCCTGCACTGGCGATGACGTGGGCACAGGAGATACTGGCAAAGGCACCCCCATCGGTCCCTTGCTCTTGCAGCTGGATCTTGACCATGGGGGATGGGGTCCCCATTCCACAGCCCTTATTCAGCACCCCCCCAGCCTTGAGGCTCTCATAGGCAGGGGGTCTCTTGAGCCCAGCTGCTGAGGCTGGGTAGGTCCAGAGTGGAGTCAGGGGGCCTGCAGTTGGGTCTGGAAGGCTGTGTGGGGAGGCCAGGCAGCCGCGGTGGTGGAGAACCCCAGCTGCTGCGCCCATGGCCCCAGTGTGGGAGCTGGACTTCCCAGGCACAGGGGACCTTGAGCTGGTGCACAGCATCCCGTGGAGGACTGAGATCTCCTTCTCGGTCTTTGGCTCCCCAGCACCCAGGGGTGGCCCAGCTGGCAGGACGGAGTGCGTGGTCACCTTGACTGCTGAGTACACCATGGTGTAAGACACGGCCTTGTCCTTGGGGGGGCCAGGAAGCAAGGTGGCTGGGGCAGGAGGGGCTGCCGGCGCCCCTGCTGCCTTGGGGCAGATCATGCTGTGGGAGTTGGGGAGCTCCCGCTCCCCCCGGAGCTGGCCAGAGCCCTGGGGTGGCAGCGGTGTTGAGTGGCTCCGGGCACGGCCCGAGGGTCCCAGCAACAGCAGGTTGGCAGCAGGAGGCGGTGGCGGTAGGGGAGGTGTCTCCCGCTCCCGGGCAGGCACTTGGGGAGCTGGGGTGGAGCCCGCTGGCTCCTTGGAGTGGCAGAGGACCGGTAGCCTTGAGACCCCATCACCAGGGGTTCGGGAAGCAGACTTGGCTTGGGGAAAGGCCAGGAGTGGAGGACGGTGCTGGAGGAGGTTGGGGAAGGGCGGGGGGATTTCACAAGGAGTGGTCTTGGTGGGCGTCCCATCCCTCCGGCTAGGGAGGGCTGAGGATGGACGGCGGTGGGTGTGAGGCTGGAGAGCATGAGGCTGATGTGACGAGGAGGTGGCGGTCAGTGGAGAGGTCCCATTGGCCCGGCCTTCCCCTGCCTCCTCAGGCAGGGGATACTTCATCTCCTCATATATGGCCTCACTCTCTTCCGAGTCTGAGTCAACGCCAGCTGGAGGGGCTGGGCCCCCACCCCCAATGGGGGGTCCAGTCAGGCCCCCTCCACTTCGCCCTCCTCCCCTGAAGACATCCCCCACCATCTCGATGTACACTGGCTCTTCTTCCTGGGCACCCACCTCAGGGTCCCCAGTGATGCAGGATCCCCTACTGAGGCGCTGAATGGGCAGGTTCCCCCCTCGAGGAGAGGGGACTGCGGGACAAGACTCATCGAAGGAGACAGAGAGCTGGGTGTTGGGGCTTCGCCTGGGCTTCTGTGGAGGAACCTTCCGGCTGGACTCTCGGCCCTCTGGGGCTGCCTTCTGTAAACCTGGAAAAGATGGGAAAGAAATAAACTGGGATCTTCATTGGGGGAAGGAATGGGGAGACCCTTTCTGAACTCTTGACTCATTTGCAAGGATATATCTGCTTCTTCATTTTGTCCACATCCCTCAACTTACAGCTCCAGTGGGTTTCCTACCCGACCAGCCAGCCTCTGTCCTAATCAACTCAGAATCTGCAACTCCCACCCTAAATTCTCTTCCACCCTCATGTCCCTCCAAGGACATGACACCTCTTTCCAAAGACTGGACTTTTCAGGGAGCTTCCTCTGCCCTTGAATAGTTCATTTCAGGCCCTTCCAAAAAGGAACACCCCCCACCCCCACATTCCCTCTGAGAATGGAACCTTCCACTTGGTTCTTCCCTGAATGAACCCTCCCAGCAGGCCTCCCCAGGCCTTGAATGGATCCTCCTGGCTCCCAGATCCCTCTGGGGAGGGGTGGGGGCATCTCACCTGCTTTCTTGCTAAGAGGCATCTCTGCCCCTGACCCTGCCATGCTGAGCTTGGTGCTGGGGTGTCTCCGGGGCTTGGCTGGGGGTCTTCGGGTGCTGCTGTCCTCGGTGAGACCCCCACCGCCTCCCCCAGGCCCACCCCCCACACTGTCCATGCTGCCCACTGAGTGGCAGGAGAGGGAGCGTGGGGCCATGGCGCTGCGGCAGGGGTGGGGGGTGTGCTCCTGAGAGGCAGGCATTGTCATGAAGCCCATCCTGAGGGAGCGACGCAGCGAGGCAATGTCCCGCACTCGGACCCCAGGCCCCGGGCCAGCCCCAGGCCCCGCTGGGCCTGCGGGAGCCACCTCCTTACTGGAGCTGGGGAGAGAAGGCCAAGATGGAGCAGAGGTCAGGTCTTAGGCCTGGGCCTCCACCTTCACCCCAAGAGGGGTTTGCAACCCTGTGGCCTCCCAGGGAGGAAGAAGAAGGCCTGGGATGGAGATGATGGGCGGAAGCCTGAAGGTCCAGGGCATTGAAGTAGAAGCTTCAGGCAGAATCCCAAGGCTTTCAAAAAGGCAGTGGAGGCAGGGATGAGAGAAGGAGTGAGTATGTGTGCAGGGGAGCATCCCAGAGTTGGCTGATCCCAGCCTGGGTGTATCTGACACACAGCACACAGGTGGACCGCTTCATACATAGCCAGAGAGATGCAAACCCAGGCAGCACAGCTCCGCCTGACTCACACACTTACCATCACAGCTTTGTTCTTTCTTACTCTTATGCTGGCCCACACCTGGCCTCTGGCCTCCCCCATGTCCAGTTACTGCAGCCTATGCTCCACGACACACCGCGCCTCCTCTCCCAGATGCAGGCTGTATCACTGCATCACCAAAGCAGCCTCCCCCAGCTGATCCTTTTTCCTCCTTCTCTTTCTCTTCCTCTCTCTCTCTCTCTCTCTCTCTCTCTCTCTCTCTCTCTCTCTCTCTCTCTCTCT